GCGAAAGGGGGTGAAACACCGTATTAGTATGGTGTTCCTAATAATCCTTTAGGTGAGTGTATATATATAGCCATTATTTTACTCATATTTATTGTCTTATTTAAGTGCCTTCATTTGTATTTGTGCTTAATTTGTGTATACTTTGTTTACTTTGCATATGACAATTAACTTTAGAATCTAAATACCATTTGAAAAGTGCTATAATAATACAAATGAGCAGTAGTAAATAAATGGAGCAGGACTGCTGTATCATGAAAATAGGGAGAGGAATGGAGATGGTCGATGCTGAGTAAATGAAAGATGTTTCAGTTATGGGGTTAATACGAGTTGGGGGAGAAAAATAACTCTAAGGTTATGAACTGTATTGGAAGTAGAGACTGCAAAGCCATCTGAGAGATGGGGATCCTTATGAAGACCAGACTTGCACCCAACCAGGGTATCTATGTCTTTTCACAATGTAATTAACTTAAAGAAATAGAACCCATTCAATGTATAATGACTTTTGAGTTTTGTATCCCTCCATGAATCACTACCTTATCATGGTGGAGGGGTTTGTGTGCCTTTGTGATCTTAGGAGCCATGTTGTCAGGGACACTTGGCCCTAGTAGGATATCCCATGGCAAATTTGGTCCTAGATGTGGCCCCGCCCAGACTAGGGAGACCAGGGCAAGTGCCTGTTGGCCGGACCTTTACCCATGATGCTCGGCCAGGCATAATCTGAAGAAAGAACATGCGTTCGCCCTCCTGTGGGCCCACCACCTGCAGGGGGAGCCATGAGGGTAAGGATAGAGATTTGGTGGCAGTCAAAGGCATGAGCTTTGGCAGACCAGTCGTTGGCTACCTATTCTGGCTGTAGGAACATGCAATGTAACCTCTGTAATGGGAAAGGAACCGGAGTTAGTGTGGGAGGTAGAGCGATATGGAATAGATATTGTTGGGTTCACTTCAACACATGACTTGGGCTCTAACACCAAACTCTTGGAGGGGGGCTGAACTCTATTTCATTCTGGATATGCCCTTAGTGAGAGGTGCCAGGCAGGTGTGGGTTGACTTGTGGTCCCCCGGTACAGCACCATTATGTTGGAGATTACACACTTAGACTCGGGGATGGGCTTTGACTGTTGTCTGTGCGTACATGCCGAACGCCAGTTTGGAGTATCTCACCTTCTTGGAGACCTTGGATGGGGTGCTGGAAGACCCTCCCTCCGGGGACTCCATTGTTCTACTGGGGGACTTTAATGATCACATGGGTAATGACAGTGAAACCTGGAAGGGTGTTAATAGCCTGCCCGATCTGAACCCGAGTGGTGCTCTGTTATTTATCTTCTATGCTATCAATTACAAACCATGTCTGAACATAAAGGCATTCATAAGTGTAACTGGCACTAGAGCACCCTAGGCTGCAGCTTGCTGATGGGTTTTGTAAATATATCTTTGGATCTGAAACTGCATGTCTTGGACATTTAGGTGAAGACAGAAGTTAGCTGTCAACTGATGGTGAGATGGAATAGATGGTGAGGGAAAATGCCGGATAGACCTGGTAGACCCAAACGCATAGAGTTGGTATGCTGGGAGTGTCAGGCAGAGCCCTCTGTCTGAGAGATCTTCAACTTGTACTTCTGGCAACTTCTTGTACTTCTGTACTTGAGGCAGCTGTGCTGGTGCCAGTCAATGTGGCAACACGCATTGGGGCACTTTGCAGCTGAGTGTGAAGCGGCTAGGATGAGGATCAGCACCTCCATGCCTGAGGTCATGGTTCCTGACCAGAAAAAGGGTGGCTTACCCTATCCATGTTTGGGATGAGTTACTGCCCCAAGCAGAGGAGTTCCAGTATCTTGCAGTCTTGTTCACAAGTGAGGGAAGTAGGGAACTGGATATTGACTGGCGGATTGGTACAGCATCAGCAGTTATGTGGGTAGAAAGGTGAGCTAGAATGCAAAGCTATCAATTTATCAGTCAATATACGTTCCTACCCTCACCTATGGTCATGAGCTTTGGGTAGTGACTGAAAAAAAAGATCGTGGATAGAAGCGACAGAAATGAGTTTCCTTCACAGAGTGTCTGAGCTTAGCTATAGAGATAGGGTGAGGAGCTTGGACATTTGGGAGGAACTCAAAGTAGAGCCATTGCTCCTCTGCATCTAAAGGACCCAGTTGAGGTTGTTTGTGCATCTATCTATGATGCC